CACATCCTTCGTCAACCGTTGCGGCGGGTTTGGTGCTACACAGAGTGGACACCTCAGCCTCAACCTCCAAAAGGTGGGCGGATCTGAAATATGCGCGACATGGCTCGAATCTCTGTCGAATAATTAATCAAGACGGCACGCGTACGGGACCCATCTTGTGTAACAATCAAGCTTCCATCTCCATTTTTAAAATGTCTCCAGTCCTTCCATGAACCTTCTACGTTGAAACTGTTTCCAACATCTTACATGCTATTAGTACGCAGTATGCAGTTACATAAGTATATATCTGACATGCTCTGACTTTTTTTTGGAGGGGAAGGATGGATACTAAAGAAGCCTTAACAAGTTTGCCATGACATTAACTACAATAGTACTATCTACGATCCAGGTACTAACCCTAGGTAAATTATCTAACCTACAGTACCTAAGTTATCTGCCTACCTTACATATGTCAAGTTGGTTTTGAAACTGATCGAGATGCCGTCACTCGTCATTCTTTTGTCCAAGCCACAAGCGTCCCACCTCCCACATGGTAATCTTTATCATCCGACATCATTCTAAATCTGCCCCTGATTCGGAGGAATAGATAGCCTACTTTGCATGTATATATACTTTTCGTACTTGCCCAGAGTGCCTAGAGTATAGTAGGTAGTATACTACCTATGTAATACCTAAAATATCACATACCTAAGCACTTAGCTTCGTTTCCGATAGAAGAAAACAACCCCTCTTTAATGTAAAAAATCGTGTGTTTATCGTAATATATATAACTTCAGATGTTTCTGAATATACCTATAGTCACTTACAACCACATGCCTACATACATACATACATATGTAGTGAGGGCTGTGAGGGCTTTTATCTATCTTGGCGACCGAGTTTGGAAACCCGCCGCGCAACAATGCAGGATCGAGAAAGAGTTTGATGATTGTGTTGCAGGGGTGGATATGTAGAAGATGTATTTCCTGTAAGATGCAGTTTGTACATACATACGATGTATGTAGTGCTACCAGAGTTTGTTCTTCTCTTTTTTTTTTGTTTATACTACATACACATACACCTACATATATGTATACGTGATATTACCGTTACTAAGTACGTACTTACACATGGCACATACAATGAATGCCACGATTACCCCCACCCAATTATCTGTAATGTCTTGTTAATCGAATGTCGAATCTAACACTTGCGTATATGTACATACATATATATATATTACATACACACGTACACGATATGTAGTATCGTAGCAAACGCCATACCCTTGTTTTCGGCACATGAGTCGGCTTACCTTGTATACGTATCAGGTAATCCAGATGGGCTGTTGGGGAGTAATTGTCTCAATGAAGGGTGACGTTCAAAATGCAGCTGACTTTGATATCAATCAATCATCATTCGTCTTTGATAATATCGTGATAGAGAACTCTCAACGTTGAAGGTGTCAGTGCAATGTGTGAATGTCTACTACATGTATGTACTTACTAGGTATGCATCTCATGTTGTGTATTATGTAAGTATCAATACTCATGTTCCAACTTCAGTTGAAGTTACAAATGTAACCAGGATTTACATAGCAGGAGTACATATACATGTATGTACCGCATGCAGACAGAGTAACAACGTACAGGTACTTCCAACTGATCCAATGATATCATCGATGATGGCGTCTGGGCGTGCATGGTTATTGTACAAAGAGGACCCTGCACCGAGCCGGGTATCCACCGGACCAGTTAAGCCGTGCCTACCTCGTACTAGGTGAAAACCTCCCGAGAAAAAAATTCTTGCGACGGGCCGTGAGAGCTTCAAAAGCCGCCTATTTCGGCCAATGAATATAACTACTAGTCCAACCAGAAGGCAAAATTCCAATTCGACCGTAGTAAAAACATTCTGTCAGAACTTGGCCGCGTCCGGCGTAGACCGAGACGTCTATTTGTAATGGGTTAATCACCTGTGCCACTGCTTGCTGACCTGACATTACATTTACCTACTTAGGTAGGTAGATAGAAGATTGTTTATTATTCATGTTCTCATCATCATTTTGATTATTGTGAGTTGTTTCAAGCTTCAACATATTATAATATTATATACCTAGTGTAGATAGCTAATAGCTATCAACTAATTGTCTCCTCTCTCAACCGCCATAGCTATTATTTACTATCGTACTGCGTATTACATACAACATTGAATTGTTTATACACACCTACATGTAGTTATTACTATGTATGTATTTGCTGTATGTAAGCTAAAAAAGGTACATGCGTCAACTGGTCCTAGTAAGGAGTACGATGTACCCATATACTTAGAGACCCCTACTTTTGTAATTATGCGGGTTAACGTCATGCAACAATCCGAGGTACGCTAATACAGCACGGATTCTACTACATGGTAGTGGCAGGTAAGGGTAGGTTACCCCTTTAGGTTTAGAGCCGTTAGATTTGTTTGGATTTATGTGTGTAAATTATCTAAATTCCCCTGTCAAAACCCGTTTCTCTTCGTGTTTTGGCGGTCAGTGCCTGTCAAGTTCTTCTTAGCATGATTCTTGCATCATCACCAGCCGCCCTGGCCGAGCTTGCACCGAATTCTTCAACCTATCATAACCTTCAGGGACCTTTCCCCCCCATCTTTGCATGCGAGTTTTCATCGCCGTGTGACTATGCACCGTCTCGAGATAAAATGCGGTAATCATTGTCTTCGCAACACACTCTACCATTCTACATACCTACTAGATGCCGATACCGCCGCATGTTACGCTTCGCTTGGATAGCTTCCAACCTCGAACACCACCATAACATCGTGGCTAGCTAAGCTACACACCTACATTACCCCCTACGTAGTAGGTAGCCTACTACTACTAGGCAGGTATATTATACATCCATGATGGGAACATGGAAGGTAGCTGGTAGAGACACCGCCAAGTCTTGCGCGACGAAAGAAAGAAACAAAGACCAGAGTCGAGATAACTACCAAGGTCAATATACATGCATTATACGAAGCATGGCGTAGGTATGTACGATAAGTAGGTGTATATATTCATCGCTGCTTATTCACAGACACCGTCTATTAAAAGAAACTTGCTTCATCTGTGATTCAAAGAATCTCGAGTAACGCGGTTGCGAAAGCACTGGTAACAACCCCTTGGGACCTACAGTAATAGGGCTAAGCTCAATCCATGTCCTAGACGCGTACGCCTGCCTATCTGCTCTGCTACTCTACTGTACAGCTACGCCATACACTACACTGGCATTGTATTGTATTGTACAATACATACAATACAATACCATACTAGTAGTACAATAAAAAGCATTACCTACTTACACCACAACTTGGGACCATCTGCCGTCGGGCAGTTGTCTGCCTCTTTCCCCACCGCCCACCTAAACTGTTGTTATATAAAGATGCTGCATAGGTCGCGCGCTTGGGATGAGGCGCGCATGGACTTGTGTCCGAAATAACTATATTGTAGATGCTGCTGCTACAATTGCTGCTGCTTGCTTATTCATGGAACCAGGATTCCAATGCTAGCTCCTTTTTGTTCAACCCCCCCGTCATACCAATTTCCAAGACTACAATACCACAGTACTTATTACATCGTATTATACATCATACTATGTACCTCCCGTACATAGGAGATCCTTCTCCTTGACACAAATTTGTCTATTACCTAATATAGTCAGCAGGAAGCATGGTATAGTGCTCTGAAGCATTGAGAAAGCTCGCATGGTCGGATGATAATCCAGCTACCGGTGCTCGACATGTACGGTTACACCAGTTGCGACAGCAAGGCAAGCATCAGCTGGTTTCGCCCTAGGGTCTGATGGGATCGTCCGGGGATGGCCTGTCTTCGACCCTGAAGAAATTGCCCGGGCTCCCGATACAGGCAATCCGCAGGGAATAACTCGTGAAGATCTTCCAGGGTTATTCGGAACCCGCGATTTTGATAGGTTTCTATGAGCCGGATTTCATCTAGGATATTCAAACTTTATACAGTGCATTGGTATTATGCATTCGGCATGAGAGAAGCAAGCAAGCAAGATACTATGCATACAACCTGGATGCTTAAAAAACGGTGCTAACCATAGCATTTCCCTCCCTCTCCTTTTTTGTTCTAAAAAAAAGATGGAAGGAAAGGAAGGAAAAGAAAACATTTCACATACCGTGCCAGCCTAGTGCAGCTTTTCTGACGACGATGACGATGTTCTATACCTATGGGTTTCGGCGCTAAAAAAAATATGCCAATAACTACATCCTTCCGTTGTTCGAGGTCAGCAATCTGCAATCCAACCCTGTATTGCATAGTTCAGTCTTTTAGTTCGGTATTCAAGTGCTTACCAACACTTTACCGTCATGGCCTGGACAAGCTGTTTCTTGAGGTCCTAGTTTTACAGCTGGCAGCTACGCTTTGGCCATTCGGTCCCTCTCGAGTGACCACCGAGTTCCAAGATTTTGACTGCCCCTGTTACACATTGTGAGGACGTGTAACGCGAGTCAGTATAGGCCGCAGAAACCATCCGGATGTGAGCCGACGATGAGGACGGGAAGATGGGCCTTTCCTGGCGGCGTGGTGGCAATGAATGCCGGGATTTCCGGGATTTGCCTGAGTCATGTTACCTGCGCTGCTGAGTTGTGACTGCGTGTTGCAGGAAGGGGGACCGGCAGTGTGGGCAAAGCCTGCATTCCGCATCTAGGCCTGCCTAGATCTGGGAACGGCACACGTGGGATATTGACATGGCCAGTATCAAGTGAAGATCTTGGCCCTTCTTGCTACCCGGAGTATCCAGAGTTGATCTCGATCTTTACAGTAATCAACGAGCTGGCATCTGTCAGTATGGATACTGTTGGCATGTCTGTGGTTCTACCGTATTTTGAATCTCGAAGCACCACTCGAAATAGATAGCTCCACTTCTGCATGATATCAACTTCAATATAGAGATATTCCTTTAGTGTACTTCTGCATGGTATTTCGTGCTTACCTAGGTATCTTTTTTACTCCGTAGTATGGAGGTACTCTGTAGGTGAATCTTGGCAAGCTACCTAGGTAGGTAGATTTGGCATACTAACAACAAGGCGCTAGAGGAACCACCAGCCAAGTGGCAAGTATCATGTACTCTATTACGACAGAAAAAGGGGGTAAAGCTAACAGCATTTACGACGAGGTACTTCTTGTTTTGTATTTTGCTGATCTGTAAGATAGGTTTTATGTTTAATACCTACGTGGATAATATCATCTAGGTGGCAATGACGATCTCAGAACATCACGAACTGTGGTTTATTCCCCCCTTCCCTCGGAGTAGACATGCTGGCAACGCTGGCAACATAGCGAACTAGCAACGTCTTTTCTATCAGATCATCCGTGGAGTCCAGCGGGAGCTATCTGTCGTGCTAGACAGGCAGCTAATGGCTTTCCCGGATGGCTTCCGCCAACAACCTGTATTGTACATCTCTCCATGTATGTATGTACGTATGTATGTAAGGGATTGTTCTTCGAAAGTCCTATACATACATACACACAACAAACATGGAGTGTTGGAGAATAGGAAAATGTTACCAGCAACGCGAAGAAAAGTCCCATCTTGCGCTCCTCACACTCCCATCAAAATGTCCAAGTAGCCAGAGCATCTTGAGCATTCGAAAGACTGCTTATACAGGAAGCTTACGCTAGAGATGCTAGACGGGCATTGAACTTGTTAGAGCCAAGCAGGAGGCAACAACAACAACGTGCTGATAACACTATTACTATCTGCTTCGGTATTATATCCGAAGCCAACCGTTAATAGGGAGAGAGAAAGAAAGAAGACAGAGGCAACGAATGACAATGTCCGGAACCTTGACTCCATAAACGATATGCTAACTCCAAATCTCGGCATCCCTCAATAAGGACTTGCGTCTCTAGGTACTTGCTACTACTAGTTTACTACGTAGTATTTCAAGAAATTGAGGCATCGTGGCCAGGTTTGATGGTTTGACCGGAACCGCCTGCCGTTTGGCATCGAAAGGGCGTCTCTCTAACTAGTTGGTTTGGGATTTTTTTTTCTTTCTAGTTTAGTGCCGGTGATTTTGAAATCGCCTAGATCGGGATATTATCCTCCCCTACCTAGTCCCTACATAGCAGCATAGGTAGGTATGTATAACTACTCTCAACAACACCTTCCAGCTTACGTACTTGGTGATAGGGTCAGATTGGTGATTGGATGTCGTCCCCTTTCCGAACTTTCGATAGCTTCCTTGACTACTACGTGCTAGTGTTGGGCGAACTTGGGCTTCTAACCTACTATGTATTGTATCATTGCGGCTAGTAGGACTTTGGTATTTTTTTTTTCTTTCTGCCAGTGAATAACTAACCGAAAATATATATTCAATAGGGGGGCTTGTAAAGCGACATGCTTGTCAAGCCCGGTGGTAGTCTTGGAAATAATCCAAACCGATAGTGGGGTCTTGCGTTAGTGTCTCGACGTTCTACGGATGGACATGGAATACCCTCGTTACTAAACCTTGACTGCTGTTGCCCCCAACGCTGAAGATTTTTTGGAGGGGGGGGGTCTTTTGTTCTGCGTCAGAGGCGATAAACTCGGACCGGTGCCTGGAGTAGTCTTGATGAACATGATGTGTTTTTTTGTTATTCATCACGAGGTCTTACTGTGTTTTGATTTCTGCACTAGTGTTTGTCATCGTCGTGGAAGTTTTGTTATTCAAACTCAAAGGGGCATCCGGACTAGAGAAAGGCGACGATAATTGTAATTTCAGGGGTACTACTCTCTGTAAAATATACGAGAAAATACTATCATAGGTACTGTAGGTACTTACAGTACCTATTAAGGACCAAGAGTGATAACCCCCTTGGCTAAAACAAAGATAGACGTTTGAAAAATGTTTGGCGTAGATAATGTTTTATAGTAATCATCACTGTCGACCCCTATATCTTTGTCTCCCTTGATATGTAGTTGGGATGTTTTAGCCGCCTCTGGGATCCCCCACAAAGAGATGTCTTATTTACAATGGAGTCAGATCTGTCCCCTAAGATCTGGTTGTGTGGCCTTGACGGCGGGAATGTATGTCTCCAATCCTCCATCCACCCGCAGTGAGCTTGATGTTTGGGGAAAGCGGGATCTAGAGATAGGCTTGCCGTCTTTGTTGCTGGGCCTGGCTCCACTGCCTACACCATCCTAGAGCTTATCACCACCAGGGTCCCCAATTTGTATCGCCAACTTTCTTCTGCTTTGATCTTTTGGACGAGCACCAACTAGCACCAACAAACTATAATGTCTCAAGTTCCCCTGACTCGATTGCCTGCTCCTATTGACGACAAATGCCTACGATGAAATAAGATTCCAACGATGAAAACGACTGTTTGATGATAGATTCCTTTATCACGAGGATAGGGATTGCCAACGCCAACTAATAGGGGATAGGCCATAAGATGTTTGTAAATTTCGAAGAATTAAAACATCGTAAAACGACATCCTTTTCTTTCAAACGACGAAATACTCTCCAACGAGCAAACCCAAACATCTATAGTGAAGTCTCGCCGTATTATGAACCATGATAATCTTTTATTATGCCAGTTTCTAGCCAAAGAGATTCCTATCTCTTGGTGTTAATACGAGATCGAGATCGAGATGTTCAACAATACAAACAGACAATCAAACCACGTATAGTTCTCTTGGTGAGGGAGTATACCCAATACCCCAAACCCAAGAATTGTCTATCCTCGTGAGGAGAAACGACGAAACAAGCAGGTGCAAGATTCCATGTCCTTCGATGCGAGACACAAAAACAACTGCAAAAAAGGAAACCGTACCCAATGGCACATCCATGAACGCTGCTTAATATCTGCAAGATGCAGGAAGAAAAAGACTATTCACTGCTGTTAAAAAGAAATTGAAGTGACACTCGGCCCAGCGGCTCAACCCAACATTGCCCAATCCGTTCGAATACGGCATCATTGCATACGACTAGGCGTTCTAGACGCAATAGAACAAGAAACTCCAAAATCGAACTACATAGGAGTATACTATCTGTTTGCAACACATAGAGCTTGTTTTGTGATAAGTCACCCTATACGACTACTATGAGTATACAGTCAGGTTTGCTTGCAACTTAAGGGCGATATAGAAGACTACTTAACCTACCTATACAAGTTTGTCACTTAGGAGCAATCATATTTCATATGCTTCCTATCCTATACGGCACAATCAGGAGCAAACTTAATCTATTCGTAGTTAATCACCATATGGTTTCTAGTCACTCCGTAATACAACCGTAGCAATGTTTTGTCACGATCTTTTCATTCAAGCTATAAGTTGCTTATTTACATAACGAAGTGATATATTGGCTTAGTTGCAATACTACTCAAATGCGTATAGAGTTATCTTTTAAAAAGCTATAAGCCTCAAACCATACTAGATCAACGTTGTGGCTGAAGATGCGGCTACTAACGATGACATCTTAATTAGATAATCAGACTCGGATTATTATACCCTAAGTACCAAAGTACCAAAGTACCCTAAGCCTTGAAGTATCTAGCTCGGATTAACCTCAAAAATTCGATCGCACTTAACAATTGAAGCTTAAGATTTGCAGTCGAAGCGGCATTGACCTATCACGAATTCATGTCCCATGAGTTTGCGAGGTGTTGTTAAACCTGTACATTCATGGCGACAACTAGCTCTATTCGGCCTTCAATTGGCCGAATATTGAGTTCTGTAGGAAACCAGTATGCCACAAACCCGACTTCCATCCTCGCCATCCTCTCGACAAGAGCTGCGACTCAGAGCTGTCCATTCTCGTCCACCTCAGAGCGAAGCATGCGCCGACCCCGTCGCGACAACAACCGATTGCGTGGCTTGAGTGTTATATACCGGTCCGGCCCGCGATATCGAACAAACATCGACAAGGATGATTTACCAAAGCCTTCGGACTACGTACCGGAGGTGGAGGTGGACCCGAATCACGGTTTATGGCAGTTCTTCTACGCAAAGGACAAACTCCTGCTCACGCCGGAAGAGGAGTCCCAGCACGGGCGCGGTTGGAGCGTCGAGGAATTACGACATAAACGCTGGAAGGACTTGCACAGGCTTTGGTGGGCTTGTATCAAGGAGCAAAATCGCATCTCCACCGCGCGCAGGGAGAAGCAGCGATTAAAGTTCGGGGATGGAGAGGAAGAATTGGTTGCAAGACTAGAAGAGGTATGGACATTTGCTTGCCGTTGCCAGTATAGAAGAAGAGCGCATCAACTCTCATGCTAACGCATATACAACGAATAATAGGTTCGCAAGACTATGAAGGCAATCAAGCACACGTTAACGGAACGATTCTACTTATGGGAGGATGCGAGAAAGCTGGCCGAGGCGGATCCGGAAATCGATCTAAGCACCACCAAAAACCCTTATGCTCCGAGCTCTTATATCGAGGACGTCGACCCAGAGCCGCCTAAGGAAGAACCGCCCAAGGAGGAAGAAACAAAACAAATAGAAGGACAGCAGGAGGAGGGCACCGAAAAGTCGGCGGCCGACCAAGTCGATCCATCTACACTTCCACCATCACCAGGTGGAGAGACTCAGCAACCATCGGCAAAGGTATAAGTCGTCGAGACTTTGATATCATTGATGCATATGTGTCGTGTGTATTCGGCATAAGATGGAAAAGCTTTATGACAATCTTGTCATAACAAAGCATTGTAAATAATAAAATGAATATATCCATGAATATATAAACATCAAGTGTATATCCTATGTATGCATTTTATGTCGAGCGATGACCTGCGTGCATGAATGATACGAATGTACCTACTTATCATTGGACTTAGATGATGTGTAAGTGATCCCCACCCCTAATTAAAAGGTCCAGATGTGTTATGTAAGTTTAGATGGCTCAGATGGCGAGGCCGATATTGTCAACGAGGCTGTCTAGAGGAGCTATTAGTATTAATTGATGTGCTTTGCCTGGTACCTGGTTAGGTGCGTATTTAGTACTAAATTAGATTCCTGAATCATGGAACGATGAAATAATGATACTAAGGAAATGCTAGGAAATACTAGGAAACACTAGATAAATAGGGCCACAGGCAGCTATGTTATCAAACGAGGCGTGGTTGCTGATTTAAAAGAGATTAAGTTTATACCATAATCTTTAATTGGATGGTAAGGGGGGAAAAGGGGGGGATGGGGGCATTTGGGGAGAAGGCAAAAGGAGGGAAGGGACGAAATGGAAATAATATCAATAATATCAATATGATGGACAAAAAGAGGTTGGGGCTGGGTACCATAATTGATAGTAGTACTAGGAGTAGTACTAGGTATATTGGTTACCTGGTTACTTACCTGGCAGGTTACTGGTAGGTACCCTAGGTAGTATGATGATTTAGTAATAAAGTATGATGAGCAGAATGAGGTAAGTACCTAAAGGTCCTAAGGTAGAGCCAAGCGCGGGGTCATCTTTGATTGGTGGCAGCTTCATTTGGAGGGGGTTCAGTTTGATTTCGAGCTTCAGAACCATTAAAACCAAAAACCATAAAACCATAAACCCATAAACCACCAAGGCTGGCTGGTCTTTGTATCCACTACAACTACCTTTCCTCTCTCTCACCGATACTTCTCTCTACAACTCTTACCAACTTCCTTCCTCTTTTGCGGTTTGACCTGGAGTCGACAACTTCCTCCTCATAGAGTCATAGCTAATCCGTCTAGTCTTTTTTGACCATTGCCCTGTGTTTGGACACTTGAATATATTCCAGGTTCCTATCAAAGAGAGTGCGAAATCTATACTAGTCACCATGGATGAGATCGCGAAAGAGTACGATGTCATTGTCTTGGGCACCGGTAAGTTGCATTCTGTTAAGCCCCGCATTCTAACAACAACATCAACGACGACAATAACGACAAGTAACAAACAAATAACAAGCAACAACCTTGAAGAAGCATGTCTCTAATTAATCATTTTTGCTTATAGGCCTGACCGAGTGTATTCTCTCTGGGTATGCATTGATTACATCATACCAACAGCTATTTTAGTGGCATATTTGAAGTGTTCTGGACTAACAGTCATCAAGCGTGCTGAGTGTAAAAGGCAAGAAGGTGTTGCATATTGATCGCAATGATCACTATGGAGGGTGCGTAACAACTTAAACATCCCTTATTACTATTGTCTAGATGAACAGAATGCTAACGTGTAGTTTTCATGATACAGAGAGGCTGCATCGGTGAACCTCGAGACGGTACTTTACCCCCCCATACCGCCCTATCAATAATTATCGATGAATTTACTTTGACTAACGCATTATTTGCCTCGAAATAGCTATTCAAGAAGTATGGCAACTTCACAAAAGGAGAGGAGCCGTGGAAGAAATACGGTCGAGCCAACGACTGGAACATCGACTTGGTCCCCAAGCTTCTGATGTCCTCCGGCGAGCTGACCAACATTCTCGTTTCTACCGACGTTACCCGCTATCTTGAATTCAAGCAGGTCGCTGGCAGTTTCGTTCAGCAAGGTGCTGAAACCAAGGCTACTATTGCCAAGGTTCCCTCCGACGCTGCTGAGGCCCTACGTTCCCCCCTCATGGGCATCTTCGAAAAGCGACGAATGAAGAGCTTCATAGAATGGGTCGGCACCTTCGATGTCAACGACTCCGCTACACACAAGGGTAAGTCGAATCATAGTGGATTGGAGACCAAGCTGGGTCTCCTCAGTGGTCGGGGGATTTAGCCAATAAGATCTATGGACAGCTAACGTGATTATGGCCAGGTCTTGACATGAGCTCTTGCACGATGAAGGAAGTTTACGACAAGTTCGGTCTCGAGCCTGGCACTCGGGACTTCGTCGGCCATGCCATGGCCCTTTACCTCTCCGACGGCTACCTGGATGATGCTGGCAAGGCCCCCGAGACCATTGAGCGTATTAGGATGTACGGTAACTCGGTCGCACGGTATGGCAAGTCGCCTTACATCTACCCCCTATACGGTCTCGGCGAGCTGCCCCAGGGCTTTGCCCGTCTGTCTGCCATTTATGGCGGCACGTACATGCTCAACGCCAAGGTAGACGAGATGGTGTACGAGAACGGCAGGGCGAGTGGTATCAAGGCCACCATGACTGGTATCGAGCCCGAGATGAAGTTCGAGACCAAGGCTGGCATGGTTCTAGGCGACCCATCATACTTCCCTGAGAAGGTAAAGGTTGTTGGTCACGTCCTGAAGGCCATTTGCGTCCTGAAGCACCCCTTGGCCGGCACCAACGACTGCGACTCTTGCCAGTTGATTATCCCGCAATCCCAAGTTGGCCGCAAGAACGGTAAGCCCTAAGAAACACTGCCTAGGAAGGCGAGCCAGTGGCTAACTGAAATCAGATATCTACGTTGCATGTGTCTCCTCAGCGCACAATGTGTGCCCCAAGGGCTACTACATTGCAATTGTGTCTACTATTGCTGAGACGACGGCCAACCACCATTTGGAGCTGCAACCTGGTTTGGACCGCCTTGGCCAGATTGAGGAGCAATTCATGGTAAGCCCTACCCTTAGCGTCTACTCAATCATTCACTTGGACACATGTACTCATACTCTATCTAGGGCCCACCTATCCCACTTTACGAGCCTCTGGAGGATGGAAGAAAGGACAACATCTTCATCTCCAAGAGCTACGACGCCACATCGCACTTCGAGACTACTACCGATGACGTTAAGGACATCTACGCGCGCGCCACTGGCGAGGAGCTTAAGGTGGAGGGTCTCCGGGAGGGTCTCCAAGTTGCTGAAGAGTAATCTCAGCTGTTGCGGAAGTGACGATCACGAGCAAGCTTCGATAATAAGGAACAACAAGAAGCCGAAGCGAGAGAGAAAACTGCCGTATCGTCGTTAAATTAAATGCCGTAATTCATCGAGAGTCTTGAGTGAAACCAAAGCGCACCGACCAGATGAAGTTTTACATGGGCATAGGGGGAGCTAGATATAAATGTAGCTCGTTTGTTTCGAGGCAGATAGTGTTGATAGAAGTACAACTTCGCGGGGTCTGTTTGCGGTCTGATTTGAACTCATTTTTGTGTGCTCGAGCAATTCTAGGTATATATTCTCAGCCTGAAGAGACAAGTAGATGCTTTAGGGTTATCGTAACTATCTACCTGGATATCTAATTCAACGTGTATACCAACGTCTCCCTCCAGCGTATAGTCTAGTAGTTTTAGTAGTTGTAAGGTTGGGTTGAGGCTAGTCTTCTCCTCAACGAATGGTACGATGTATCCCCCCTCCCCCCCCCTTCATCGCCTGATATCTATCTATCTACTTCACGATATGGTGAGGACCGATACCAATGAGCCATATACATATTTATGATCACGTTTCAACCATCTACATACTTACCTAAGTAGGTACCCAATACATCACATCTCCCATCTACATCTACCTCTACACCAAAATAGCATTATAGCGAATACGGGCCGAGCTGACATAGACAGACAGACAGACAGACAGACAGACAGACAGACAGACAGACAGATACGCACACACACACACACACACACATACACACACATACATATATATATATATATATATACATACATACACCGCGAGACGACTATCCATCCATGTGCCACATCTTGGTCTCATGAAGTAAAACTACATCCTACCTACATCGGCAATGGTGAAACTACCTACCTAGCACATATGATCCAGAGACTTGTATGAGGTTTGAGTAGATAGGTACCTACCTAGGCTTGTGTGATACTAAGTAGGTATGGGGGGCTTGATGGATATTCTCAAGTTGTTGAGTCTTGAGAGTATATCGTACTCTCTAGTAGCTAACTGACTCATTTCCCAAGTCTTCCTAAATGGTACCTATTGAAAGCCAACGGATGCTTATATGAGTGTTGGACTGGTAAGCAGTGCTCTTATTCCTCTAAGAGGTTGTGTTGTTGAGGAGGTAGATATGAACTCAAGGTTACTAGACGATACTTATACGGGTGATAATAGCTGTAGTGACTAAAAAGGATACCTGGTCTAAAATACAATTCAAGACATCTCACGGTGAAGAAATCTTGAAGATAAGGTAAAGCATGTACGAGCAGCCACTAAGGGAGACACGAAAGACGAGGCGCCTTTGATGTCCGCTATATGGAGTCTTCAACGATTGTACCACCTGCACTTAACCACTTCTCATCAGGTACCTCGTGTAGGCACTGGTTAGACTTGAAGTTCGTTGCCTGCAAGTCACCTTTTCACTGAAATTTCTTATGATTCCGCACACGCACAGGTTCATGGTTGAAGAGTTGATACGGGGCGTCGGTAAGGCTCCGGACTCTGAGTAGTTTCTAATAGCAAGGGTGGGAGAGACTACAACATCCTACCCCATGAAGAAGATCTCTTTGTATGGAGTGATTATGATACACCACTGAGTCTAACGAATAGGCTCGCTCCATTACGACGAAGGGGTATGTAGCACTGTGCTAGCCAGTGTGAAGGTTGTTCATGTGAATAGGGGCAAAGAATATATCCCGTCACTTAGTTGTCGGGTGGGAGTCGTTTACAATAAGTGTAACTGGCCCATCTCAAAGCATCTGTGGTTAAAGGCTACCACCACCCTCATAGCTGCCCCGTTAATTATCTTTTATCTTTGAATTCGCTATCTCTTTCAATGAGCTATACTAATCGCAGAGTGAAAGGGGCTTAAGAGGTGTTGTTATGTCTACAAGCCGAAGCTATATCTCCTGATGAATAAGTACCGCGTGTTATTTGCTGGAAATTCTCAGAGACGGATCCCCTGTGTCAAGAGTCTACCTGTGGACTACACGGGGGCTAGATATATCAAAGACAGCTCACACTTGTATGTAGCTTCATGGTCTCCGGGCAACAACGATGTCGTTCTGCGTCTTCTAGGTTCCGCCTCGTTACACTCTGGTCATATTCTATGATATATTGAAAGGCATAGTTAACACTTTCTTAATGGATGTATACAGTGTCACAGTGAAGACGGGGCTTGGCTGTCAACCTCATAGTGCTATCTAGGCGACTTTGCAACTCGATGACACACACTACAGAAACAAACTCAATAAAGCATCATGAGTTGTAGACTTTTACATACCTAACTGCCTATTTGGCTTTCTAGGTACTTGTAATCGGATTGCAAGGCATGATGTGAACAGTAAGTCATAGAAGTGGAAATAGGGGGGATAGATACCTGTAGTACCTAGTACGAACTGCAGCCATACTTCTTCGAGAAGTTCGTAAGTACTATGTAATAGCATAAAGATGATACATCTGTTAGAAAACTTGTTTCATATGCCTTTACTGTTTACAACATGCTGATGATGGGCTGTGTTGAGGTTTTGGTGCAGTTGTTCTAGGTCTTACCCCTAAACAATCAGATCATGCATGCACTGGACTATCGAGGAAGCTTACTACCAAGAATACTGAGGTATCTACCTACCTTTATCCGTCTCCTTTGTTGGGCTCGGGAGCCAAGCCTTTACATTGGTGAATCAACTCATGTATTGCCATGTATACCTGTCAACCCCCCCTCATGTACCTACACCCGCACTCTCAGGCTTTCCGCGGAAATCCAGATACCCTCTGCCAACGCAACTGCTTAACATCTAGGTAGGTAGATAGACATAACTCATCACATAGGTATAGAGCAGTACCAAGTTGGTTTGGTATGAACATCGCTATCATGTTAGTGCCCCCTGACCGATTTCTTGGGTAGGCTATGATTGGCACACATACCTCTACCTTAGTACACAGGGTGCAAGCTGTTTCGCAACGGCACAGGCGCCTTTCAACAGCATATACGCCCTATTGTGTTACTTTATGGTACATGTATCGCGGAGATATCCATTCCAACTGTCACGATGGCATGACGAGGAGTGTTAAGATCTATATTTGACTCCTAGACCTGAAAACCTTCTACCCCTCGAGATACTTCGTGCAGGTATCCTTCCCCAGGGAGAACACATGCCGAAGCCGTTATGGTAGAACGGCGCTGTATCATAGACAGCAGCATTCCAAACATCACATCAAGGTCAGTATCTGCGAGAGGCGACTTGGGTGTCTGCCCAGTTAGGCGTATATCCCCGAAATAGGATCAGAACAAGCCTACTAAGTAAATTAAGAGAACTAAAAAAAGAACTACAATATCACAAGGAAAGAGGCCCAGCCGTAAACTACTGAATTCGTGACTCGGTATATACCGTACCTACCTGGTTACTCACTCATCACACTGCCTCTCCACATCAACCTAACCTAGGTAGATTAACTTCATGGAAGAAGAAAATTTTCTGCAATGAATAGACAGACAAGGCCTTCAAGTGGTCGGCGGCAGGCCACATCATCTGCATCCTTTCCGTGCAAGTCTATATGATGGAGACATAGGGTTTAGAGGACTAGGCTGTCGCGTGGTAGACAAGAGAGGCATAGGTATGATACCTGCCCACCTACCTACTTACCTTCCTTCCCATCGTCGGCTCATCGCGCTGCCTTATCCATAGTACTCACAGCCCGCGAAAAAAAGGAGAAGACCAGAGTAGGCAGACGAGAGGCTCGGACAGAAAGTCAACCTCGGCGGCTCGCCAACCAACAAGACAGCACGATCCAACAAACAATAAACAGCAAACAACCCATCTTTTTCTATCCATATCTCTGGACAATGATGAGTAGCAGGTACCTTACCTACCTACTAACATACACCCTCGTCGTCGGCTGACGCGCTCGTAGCCAGAAACCCCCCCCCCCCCCCCCCAGGGACAGCCACCCCCAAAATAGCTGTGCAAATGAATCTAGGCAGTTGGTTAGTAGGTGATTAGGTACACTCTAACGAACTCACCTCGTCGTATTTCGTTGGATCTTATCTTCCAAGTTCGAAGGGGCACGGTGCTGCTGCTTAGTAGCATAGCCCTACCTACGACCAAGTGAGAGAAACACACAAAAACCAATCAACTGCCGTTGGTACCTAGTAGTCGCCTTTTGTTTTTGTAAAGTACAATACCTAGGTTAGGCCAGGAACCTATCATTATGTAGGTACTGTAAGTAAGTGTGTACTTTCGGCACCGTCGCCATCCCCCTCAAAACGAAAACTCGAACCCCGTTGGCTCGGCATTCGCGATACCTACCTACCTACCTCTCCTCTAACCTATCTTATCTTTAATTATGATATTACAGCAAAGATGTCGTCGGACGAACGAACGAACGAACGAACGAACGACCCAATCGCGCGCCCGCAGAAACAAACAGCCCTACGGGAGGGCGTTGGAGCTGAATGCGAGTGAGCGAGCTGTTGCCGGAAAAATTGCATGATCTTACGTTGGACGCACGTGGCGTAGCACGGAGAGGCTGCATACTTAGTAATAGAGAGAGAGAGAGAGAGAGAGAGAGAGATGGTGCATACCAAAGATAGGAGGATGAGGAGAGGAAGAGGGGGGGTAAGGGGGTAACGCAGTACCCGTATAGGGCTGGTTTGAACTACCGTAGATACCAGGTAGGTAGGTGAGGATAAGATTATAGCTGGTCGCACGATCTCCCTCTCACCTCACTTATGTACCTACCTACCTACCTGCTTATTTAATACCCTCTTACTCCGCTGCTATTCGGCATTAACCTAGACCAGAGCCAGCAGCTTAGCATAGCGGAAATAGGTAGGTAGGTAAGGTTAGATAATAAGTAGGTGAAATTGTAAACAGATGAGACGACTCTTGAGGCAAGGGAGAGACCGGAGGGATGCCTGGCCGGACTGCGAAAGCGACATTGCAATTACAATGTCCGTCATACCATCCATACATACATGTAATCGAGCTAAATACATAGGCAGGTACTTGTAACTTGGGCTAATTTTGCTTTTTTTTTTTTTGGTGGTTGCTAGGCACCGCAATAAACGGCGTCGTGATTGGCCCGCAGCTATAGGTAGAGCCACGATCGGTAGCTAGCTAGCTATGTACGATGCCCAGTAACTATCTAGGCTGCCTTAAAAGGGTAATTAACTACCTAACCTTACATAGGTAAGTAGGTAGGTAGCAGCAACCTGGGAAGCTTTCCTATTATAGCACAAGCTCACATGTGCACCAATTTCCCCCCTTCCTGGGAAAAACTGGCACTTGCCTAAGAGAAGAAAGAGATAATATTCGTTGTTTCTATTTTGCGAAGAGGAGACGAGCTGATGGGGAAC